CCTCGCTCGATGCTCTCGATTCCCGTCCTTTGTCCGAAATTTCTCCTTCTTTAGGCAGATCGTCGTATGCATGCGGATCGAATTTCATTTGCACATTATAGTATACAATTTGGGGTCATACACCATCAATCTGAGAACAATAAACATGAACGCCGTCAAAACGTCTTTGTGAACGTCCCAAAGCATATCACAGCTCAACCAGAGCGGGCGCTCCTTCGGCAGGGGGGAATGAATTCTTGGTCACGACAAACGCCTTCTGGATACCACCCTCGCGACTATTGAATAGTTCGTACAATCTGGACATGTCTTCTAGACGTACTCGATGCGTGACCATGTCCAAGGGGTTGATCTCCCCCTTGCGGATGAGCTCCAGGAGATGTTTCCAGTATCGGTGCACGGGAGCTTGACCGTTGCCGATCAAGCGGACGCCAGTCTGCATCAAGGCACCAATGTTGAAGTGGTTGGTCTAAAAGGTGGTCCATCAATTAGCAACGCGCTTGCTTTCACGTTAGTCCTGTGGCGGGACTTACAAAGCCAGAGTAGACCCCGGTAACGCCAACCCGGCCAAATGGCCGGACGGAAGTGATCATCTCGTTCAACATCTCCGAGGTGTCAGTCTCCAATCCCAGGAGAACCTCGAAGTAGTGCGCCCATCCCTTTGCGAATTCTCCCGATGCACATTCCAACGCCACATCGGGCCCGCCGGGGACCACCTTCTTCAATTGGGAGGTGATGGATTCACCACGAGGCAGCTTGGTGAAATCGATCGTTTCCACCTTGGGCAATTTACTCTTGACAAAGTCCAAGCGCCACGCTGCGTCGCCACCGTCAATGAGGATCACTCGGCTGGCGCCCTGCAGAAAACTGAAGGTGGCCACCATTTGGCCAATCGGCCCTGCACCCCAAATGGCAACCACATCGCCCTTATCGACTCCGGTGTCGACCACACAGTGATACGATGTGGACAAAACGTCGGAGAGATACAAACCCTTCTCATCAGGGACATCATCGGGAAGTGCCAGCAGGTTCTGATCGCCATATGGCACCCGGACATATTCGGCTTGGCCTCCAGCGAAGCCACCTGTGAAATGGCTGTAGCCGAAGATACCTGTACCGAGTTTGGTTAACGAGCTGTCCTTTACAACACTAAGAGATTGATGTTCTGGTCCGGAAGGCTTACCTGAAGTGCGCTTCCCATACAAGGCATTAGTGAGGGTGTTTTCGTTGGTCCGTTCACAGGCGGAGGTCAGTTGTTTCTTGCAGTTCGTGCATTGGCCGCAGGAAATGGGGAAAGCTGCTACGACTCTATCTCCGACCTTGACATTCTTTGCTCCCGGTCCGACGCTGTCCACCACACCGCAGAATTCGTGGCCGAGCACGTCGCCTTTTTCGAGTTGAGGAATGACACCTGTGATGCACCGAGTCAGAACTGCTTCACAGTTTGATTAATTAGCATAACGATTTCAGACCTAGACCATACCGTGATACAGGTGGAGATCGCTTCCACAGATCGTGCTACCGGTGACCTTGACAATCACGTCCCCTTCATCGACAACTCTTGGCTTGGGCATTTCCACCACCTCGACAGAGTTCTTCCCCTGCCAGGTGGTGGCCTTGATCTTCTCCCCGGTCTCCTGGCCATACCCTCCCTTGGCGTAATTGCTCACATCGGTGGTGACAGTGGCATTGCCACTGTGTCCAACCGCCTTCTCGACTAGGTTAGCAGCCTGGGATGTTGCTGCCATTATTGTGATTCGATTCTGGATGTTATCAACTCAGATGATCAATAATATGTGATCAGCAAGGCAGTAGTGCAGAGTGTCATGAAATCCCACCAGTCCGACTTCTTGTGAGGCTCGACAGAGAATAAATGGTCCGGCCGAGTTCGCCGCCTGCGACTGACATCACAGTGAGGTCGTCATGTTTCAATTTCTCGTGAAGCCTGTTCCATGGGATTATATCCAATGAGTATGATATGACATCTCCTTCCTAAGCTCTTCGTGGTTTAGCCTTGCAACTTTTGGATAGTTTGGATAGCTCTATCTAGGATTCTCGTACCGGTTGCATGAGGAGTAATCGATGACAATACTCACCGTAGGGTAGCTATTGGAGGAAGAGCCGTCATGACGTCATCTTATCACGAACTTCCCCCGCACATCGCATTCGGTCACCTTGATGACATTGATGACAGATCTGGCATTGTCCATTCTACTGCAGTTGCACAAATTGAACTGTGTTTTGCAATGCGCGACTAGCTTTGCACCTTGGAAATCTCTGGGGGCCTGAGCAAGGGTGACAGACGCTGGTTGGCTGGATATTTGTGTCAGAATCAGGGACTGGAGTACTGCTACTAGGTACTACTAAGTGTTTAAAGTTGTGGTCACGAGACTTACACTTTACCAAATAGCAGAGGTAACTAATGCCCTCAAGCTGCTTGGAGAGCCGTATGAAGAGGCCGTTGAATACTGATGTATAAGCCCTTAAGCAGCCATTTCAGTAGACCATGAAGACGTAAAATCGGCTTCTAGACAGCTATCTGAATAGGTGCTTAGAAAGGTGCAAGTACGGGCCCTGCTGGGCCCGCTAAGGGTCCTTTTGACAAGCCAAAGTGGAACAGAACCAAGGGAGGAACGCCGAACCCGCACGTCAGACCCCTTGTTATGTTTATCATTGCTGTTGTGAAGCTATACGTACTATCCACCGGTGGTGAAAAAGGACTCTTGCTGTATACAGTACATACAGCAATATTGTTTCCACCATCTTAGGCACCAGCCTTTTGCCCCCACAGTCAAGACAACCTCGGATCAACTGGGCCCGAATCTTGGCTTCCATACACAATTAAAAACACAATATCTCGACGATAGAAACTGCCGACCGCGGGATCTTGTTCACTATCGCAATTAATGAAGTTGCAACTGCACACGCTGGTCGAGTGTCAGCTTCGCTCTTGAGGACGAACATACATCAACACCACCACCACCACTACCACTACCACCACTACTACTACCACCGCCACTATGGGACGATTCGGAGATTTCCTGGATCGCGTCCACCAACATGTCAAAGAGAAGTATGGAACACCACCTGCTTCTCCTCAGCCCTACAGTCCTCCTTCGAACCAGCCAGATGGTCATTGGCCGACACAAGAGACCGCCCCTACTTTCCCTCCAGGTTGGTTGATCTATTTCCTGGAGATGGACGTCCGCTCGCTTGCGGAAAGCCGCCTTGTTGATTAGTGACCCTAGGAGCAAGCCCTACGGTCGCCAGAACTGGACCACAGACAGTGTTTGCACATTTTATCGTAAGGTCTTCAGTGTGGATAACGACCAGTACAGTACTCAGCTAACTGCACTCTAGGTGGGATGCGCGGCTGCCATGACCCCCGAACAATGGGAGTCGGATATAATCGAGGCCCAAAAGTGCCATATTGATGGCTTCGCGCTCAACATCGCCCCCCAGGATAGTTACACCGACCAAGTCCTGGAAAATGCGTACAGTGCGGCTGAAAGAGTCGGGAATTTCACCCTTTTTCTTTCTTTCGACTATGGGTCGGGGGGCCCATGGCCAGTGGACCGTGTCATTCACACCATCAACGCCTTCGCACACCGCAGCCCCCAGTATTTTTATCAAGGAAGGCCACTGGTTTCCACCTTTATCGGCGTCTCAAGCGCCGGAGACTGGGTCGACATCAAGCGCGCCACGAATTGTTTCTTCGTCCCTAGCTGGCCCGACTGCGGCCCTGCCGCCATCACCAACTACCTCGATATTGTTGATGGTGCTTTCAGCTGGGATGCATGGCCCGTAGGCGCTGAACAGAAGAACACCGCCAACGATGAACATTGGATCCAGTCCTTGGATGGTCGGCCGTACATGATGCCCGTTTCACCTTGGTTCTACACGAACTTGCCTCAGTGGGACAAGAATTGGCTGTGGCGCGGCGATGATCTCTGGCACTACCGGTGGGAGCAGGTGATGAGATTGCAGCCAGCTTGGGTTCAGGTATGGGTCTATTCTAAACCCTCCTTCTTCGACAACAACTGACCTCAATGATCACAGATCATTAGCTGGAACGACTACGGCGAAGCCCACTATATCGGGCCCATCCACGAGGCCGGGGTCCCCGATGGAGCCGGTCGCTATTGTTTTGGACACCCTCACGACGCATGGAGGGCACTTTTGCCTCATTACATTGACGCCTACCGGAACGGCGGCGTGGTTGATCCCAACCAACCCCGACCTCACTTGTCCTTTGCGGATAAGATTGTGTACTGGTATCGCACGAACCCTAGTCATGCTGGCAGTACCAATGGGACGACCGGCAACAACCCGGGGGTGGGCCAAGAGGAACTGCACCCGGGCGAGGTATCCCAGGATCGGGTGTTTGTCAGCGTGATTGTGGGGAGCCCGAGCGAAATTCACATCCAGATTGGGGATGGAACGCCCAATATCGTACAAGCCTCGGGGGCGGGCGTTCATCACTGCTCGGTTCCCTTCGACGGAGAAACAGGACCCGTGAAGATCATGATTGTGCGCGACGAGCAGGTGATGGCATCGGCAACTGGACCGGCCATTACAGAGGAATGTCAGGATGGCAATGTGAACTGGAATTGTTATGTAGGTTCCAGCGATTAGACATCATGGATCGCTTATCGTGAAGGCCGTTTCCGGATAAGAAGGATAGCTGATTAGAGCGGATAATGACTGCAAATAAGGCAATAAGATACGTGCATCGCACTTAGAACGATAGATGGATGGATGGCCATGATGTCTGCAACTGCAGTCGCATTGAGAAGATGACTGGATGAGAGAAGGTGACGGAGGATACAAGGATACCAGGATACAAGAGGAGAGAAGGAGAGAAGGAGAGAAGGAGAGCCGAGGGACGATCACGATCATCATCTCCAACTGACTTCCCCAGCTGACTGATTGATCCACCGGAGCTCCGCCTTTCTCTCCGTGTCTCGCTCTCCACGCCTCTCCTCTCTCCTCTCTCCTCACTCCTCAACTCTTTCACCCCCATCTGCAATTATCCCTTCTCTATTCTCTCATCCCAATATCTCTACCTATTCTCTACATCTCAAGACACACTTTCAGCCCAAAGCCATCCTCTTCACTGCACAATGGCCAAGAAAAGCTTCATTGAGCTTCGAGAAGCCGCTCTGGCCCATCGCCCAGCCTCCCAGACCAGCCCGCTCCCCGACCATGTCTATCCCACGCGAGCAACCACGGTATCACCTCCTTCCACCGCCTCCTTCGATCCGAGTGCATACTCCCAGCCGTATTGTGATTTCATGACCGCGAACCCGACCATCTTCCACGCCGTCGATGCCTTCACCGCCCAGCTCGAAAGCAAAGGGTACAAGCGCCTGCACGAGCGCGAATCCTGGACGAACAAGCTCGTGCGGGGGGGGAAATACTACTGCACGCGGAACTCCAGCGCCTTCATCGCCTTCTCCGTCGGCAAGGAGTACAAGAGCGGCAATGGCGTGGCGATCGTGGCCGGACACATCGACGCCCTCACCGCCAAATTGAAGCCGGTGTCGAAGCTGCCCACGAAGGCCGGGTTCGTGCAGCTCGGCGTGGCGCCGTACGCAGGGGCCCCGAATGAGACCTGGTGGGATCGGGACCTCTCGATCGGCGGGCGCGTGCTCGTGCGCGACCCCAGCAGCGGAAAGATCGAGTCCAAGCTGGTAAAGCTCGACTGGCCCATTGCGCGCGTCCCTACCCTGGCGCCGCACTTCGGCGCCCCCAGCCAGGGCCCCTTCAACAAGGAGACCCAGATGGTGCCCATCATCGGCGTCGACAACTCGGACCTCTTCTCCACGTCCGCCGACACTCCGTCCGCCTTCCAACCCGGCAGCTTCGCCGCGACGCAGCCCGAGAAACTCGTCCGGGTCATCTCGCGCGAGCTCCAGATCCAGGACCCCCACACGATCGTCTCGTGGGAGCTGGAACTCTACGACAGCCAGCCGGCCCAACTGGGCGGCCTGGAGAAGGACCTGATCTTTGCGGGCCGCATCGACGACAAGCTCTGCTGCTACGCGGCGCAGGAGGCGCTCCTGGCCTCGCCGGACTCCACCTCGCCGGCCTCGATCAAGATGGTCGGCATGTTCGACGACGAGGAGATCGGCAGCCTGCTGCGCCAGGGCGCGCGCTCCAACTTCATGTCCAGCATCATCGAGCGCATCGCCGAGGCCTTCGCCGACCCCGCCGCCTACGGGCCCAACCTCCTCTCGCAGACCGTCGCCAACAGCTTCCTCGTCTCCTCGGACGTCATCCACGCCGTCAACCCCAACTTCCTGAACGTCTACCTCGAGAACCACGCCCCGCGCCTCAACGTCGGCGTCGCCGTCTCCGCCGACTCCAACGGCCACATGACCACCGACAGCGTCAGCCACGGCTTCATGAAGCGCGTCGCCGACAAGTGCGGCGCCACCCTCCAGGTCTTCCAGATCCGCAACGACTCCCGCAGCGGCGGCACCATCGGCCCCATGACCAGCGCCCGCATCGGCATGCGCGCCATCGACATGGGCATCCCCCAGCTCAGCATGCACAGCATCCGCGCCACCACAGGCAGTCTGGATCCCGGTCTGGGCGTCAAGCTGTTCAAGGGCTTCTTTGATCACTTCGAGGAGGTGGACGCGGAGTTTGCGGCCTTCTAGATCGGATGGACCCGACGTCCAAAGAAATATTCGGCTCGGGATGTATGAGGTTGGTCCGGTAGGGGGTAGAACCTGGTACGCTTTTGTCTAGACTATATTTAAGTTAGAGGAGGGGGGGGGGGGATGTAGCAGAGTTGCATTGCATACATGACTATGATCTTAAAGCTAGAAATGTACTCCACAATCTACACTAACATCCGGACGTGGGTAGGGAGATACAGACTCCTCCTTAGAGTTGAGATACTCAATTCGTAATGCTTATAGATTCTCAAATCCTCGGGGGTGCACTAGGTCCTCATCTAAACCCCATGCCACTCCCAGCGACTTGGTCACAAACTATGATTTATAAAGGACTATTTCATTTCCAATTCGACCAAAATTAATCATATCCATTCCATTACTGCCTCGATCATGCCAAAGACACACTAAGTAAAAAGGTACATATGAAGAGAAGAAAAAAAAAAAAAACAAAAACAAAAAATGGGGGTTACTTAGAAAAAAAAAAGAAATAAATGAACGGAGACCACCACAGCCAAGGCAAAAAGAAGGTAAACAGAGTCTGTGGTGACAGAAAATTCAAAAAAGAGAGAGAGAGAAGTGGGTATATCGTTTCCTGGATATATATACTGAACTAAACTGAACCAAAACGACCGTTGCTCTTTTTATTCGGGTTTCCCTCATTTTTACCTTCACAATTAGCCACAGCACCAGCATACCAGCACAGTTACGATTCATCGCATGCTATCCTAGCAGATTCCCGGCTCGGGGCGGCGACGAGGAGGACGAGCTGTCTCCTCGCTGCTCCTCGCGGGTGAACGCTTCCTTCAGGTCTCCTGCTCCTCCGGCGGGATGAGTTTCGCGGACCATGAGCTTGCCCTGGCCGTTGACGTCGTTGCCGGGCACCAGCGTGAGGTAGCGGTCGGCGTCGCCGGCGCAGTGGGCGTACTCGAGGTCGTCGAGGTGGGTGGTGATGGTGGTGGTGACGGTGGCGCCGGTGCCGTTCCAGTAGGTCGGGGCCTGGGCGCCGGACAGGGGCGACGTGCCGTAGGCTTGCCGGCCGCCGCTGAGGGTCGACAGGAGATGCGGCAGGATCCGCGAGACCAGCGGGCGGAGCGTCGGGAGGCAGGCGCAGATGATCCCGGTGTTGCATTCGATGGCGGACCAGGAGGCTGCGCCGACGTTGTCGTCTATTGTTCACGGTCTTGGTTAAACCTGATTGATTCTTTGCGGGGAACAGGGTCCCGTGCAGGAATCTAACTTACAGGTGGGATCAGATGAGTCGGCGATCTTCTTGAGCGCGACGAGGCGGCATATGCTGGTGACACAGACACTGAAGGTCGTGGTTGTTAGCGTTGGGGATACGGCGAGGGTCTCCGGGGGACAGCCAACTCACAATCCACCGATTGCGAAGATTGAGATCAGCGCGATCTTCTGTTTCTTCGGCAGCTCGAGTGCCACCAACGCTGGGATCGGGATGATGAGGATGACCAGGTCGGTGGTGATATGCATCGAGGCATTGGAGAACCACAGGCCCTCCGAGCTCAAACAGAACCCCGGGATCGATGAATCCCAGAACTTGGCCACGGGGACGCAGTTAAGGAAAGCACTCAACACAGCCCAGGTCCCGTAAGTAGCCAACACGGCAATCATGAGCCAGCAGATGCGTCGCATCCGTCTTGTTGGAAAGACACGGAAGTACTGCATCAGAATCGAGGCCTTGGCGCAGAGTAAGGCGGCGTTATAGAAGGGGATGGTAAGCCAGAAGGCCTAGGGTTCATGATGCCGAAGAGTCAGTGCCACTGATTGATTGGGTCAGGGAGCATGTTGCCCATACCTTCATTTGCTTCTCGAGAATGAGAGGCGGGATGTCTACTTGACGCATTCCCATCCCATTCAGAGCCTCCACAATGAACAAGCCCATGAAGACAAATGATAGGACCTGAAACACTGTCAGTTGAGTTTGGGTATATTGGGACTCGGGCAAGGACTCCAGCAGGGTCAGTACCAAGGCGATCAAGATCATCCAATCGTTGGGTTCCATGCGGTTCATCAAGGTTTTTCGAGTATAAATGCGAGCGCTGACGAAGATGGTTGCCAGCGTGGTGAAAACAACACTGACAGACAGCGCTTGAGCTCCTCGAGAGGACATGTACGATCCATTCGCTGCATCCTCAGAGCGGCTGACATGAAAGAGGTAGGTTTCCGTCATTGTTGCGTGCAGGACTGGTGTCCCATCAATGTGTCAGTGCCGTGTCTTCCCACGATCGACGATGGATGGCTCAATGGTATAACGGCCTCCGTGATGCTAGTCGGGGAGGTTCATACATATAAACCCTGGGGTCTAGGTGACCCCGATTAGCGACCGAGCAGTGTGTGGCATCTCACAAAGAGGGGGGATTACTCACAGGGAAAGGAGGAGAGGGTAGGGTTATAAACAGTTCTGGTCCTGCAGACCCTATAAACGGTCTGAAGGTCGAGATGCAACACAGACCAACACCATCATACCCGTGTAGATCTTCGCTCTTGTCTCAATCCTTCTCCGGATCTGCGGGCAGACGCTAAGACATCATGGGAGTCACAGAGAAGGAGAAGGCAGAAAAAGCAAGCAAGGGAGAGGGCAATCAAGCAAATGATGGAGAACAGCCACACTAAACTTTTAGTTCGATAGATAGTTGTCGGTGGAGAGGCCCTTGATTTCCCATCCGCTCTCCTTTGGTGTTGGAAGCGGAGTATTTGTTTGCCTTTCTGTGTGATATCGACCATTTTGGCTGCAACGCAGACTGCAATTAGGGCCGACGCACAGCAGAGGACCAAGCGACCGGTTCCAGCCTTCTGGTGTCACTAATGATGACAGTATCCACAGTCTATGGATGCCAAATCCCCCGAGCCAGTCAATTAAGACGAAAAGTGGAGCTGCGCGATAGATCGACGAGTTATTCCAAGACTCTCCGCCTCCCTTTGGTTGGGCGCAGATGAGGATTGAACTATGCATATGGTTTGATGTTTGCATATCTCATACGTACACAGCGTATGAAGTACAGTACTTTGCTGCGCCCTCGCCAGTACAGTACCTGTGCCCCCAGGTCTGGAGAGAGATCTCTGGTACAAGGCGTACCCTCCATGTACCCAAGAAATCTAGAGGGATGGCAGATGCAGGCAGATCGTGGATCCTGGATGGGTGTTTTACTCTCCTGACACTGGAGCGGAGCTGTCAATCCCCTTTCCCCCCGGCGCAGAGCCCAGGAGGGCTGCAGCAGGGATTATCTCCGGTCACCTTCCCAATGTCCAACACTTTCCCCTGGGGTTGGCATCTCCATCTCTTCACCCTGCCAAGGGCACTTCTAGCTTCTGTCGTACAAGGCAGGGACTAGACACCCGCGCAACATGAGTGCCGGAGAGCAAGGGATACGAGTGACGTGCGAAACTTCAGTTGGAAAGGGAGAGAGGGGAAAGTGGAGCAATCCCATGATCCCATTCTCTAGAAGACTGTCTGAGGTACTCCGTACGTATTGCGAAATACCTTGACTCTCCCCTTCTTGGTCGTGGCGATCTGTCATTTACCTCTTCTCTGGGTCTGCACGGAGATGAGCCACATGAAATAACGGACCTGCAGGGGGGGGGGGAGGTGGAGGGGGGGGATAATGGGGGAACAAAGTACCGAGCAATGGGTCTCTGAGTAGCCGTGCAGTACGGAGCACAGTGCGACCCGTGAGTTGACATGAAAAATAATGCAGGTCAAGAAATTGCGGTTGCTTGATTGATTGCATCGATCAATTGTGGTCATTGGCCTGAAACGCCGAAGGTAAATAAAGAAGTGATAGATCACATCCGCTAATGCGCCTAAGCCTTCGAACAGGAAAAGAACCAACCAGCGCTAATACTACCAGTCGCCATTAGATGATTCTGGTTGACTCACTCCTGTTGTCGCATTGTTGGGCTTCAAAACTTGTTGATTGTTGGAGAGACAGGCCAATTGGCCACAATGATGCTTGTTTAAGAAAACAAGCATGTTATTTGGCATATGCAGTGACTATCACAGCCGTGACTGCAGCCATAGTCTCACTTCAAACCGCATCAATTGGCTGATCGGTGCCTCCTTCTCCTGGATTGGCCAGACAGGTGATCTTAGCCGACATCGAACGCCACGTCTGTCGGTATTGAAAGATTCGAACTCTGTCCGTCGATAGTATAATTCAATGGAATCTCAAGGCTCCTGGATAGGCGATACGATGAGCCCTAAGCGCATTTTAGTGCTCAACAGGCAATGGTGATGCCTAGGGGTTTGGCTGGCTCTCCATTTCGACAACTACACCAAGTAACTACTTTTCTCGTTGGCAGGGCTCATATCTACTTCGTACTTCGATGATTCATGTCCGACTTGACGAGAAGCAGCGCTAGGCAATGTATCGCCATGAGGTGAGACCATGCCAGGATGTGTCAATGTCGCGCCCTGGGTTTAAAAAGAAATCGGCATGAACCAGGCATGGTGAGGTGAAACCAAGGCAGACACGTGAAGACTCCATCGCCATGTGACAAGGTCGTGCTGGTCGACATTTTTCGCAAGATCGCAATCAAGCCCAGCCCAGCAATCCAGCCTCTCGCGATGAGGACCAGAAGATTCCTCTGGCGGCATCAGCACCTTGTTTTGCATGAGGCTGTATGGCTCCAGACCAATTGTGCATTGCCTCAGGCTGCATAGAACCTGAGACTATATGGAGGGCTTGCATGATGTCTCTAGTTCCTCAGTAGCCCCGACCAGATACCAATATCTTCCTACCTGTCAGCGCATCAGCTGCAATGCTGTCAGTCACCCTGCAGTTTATCATGGAAGCCTGCATTAGCCCATCATGCCAAACAAAAAACAATCATGACTCCGTCCCTGGAACTCCGTCTCCGTTCTTCCGGCTCGCCACTCACTGTAACATCCATCTGCATTTTGCTCCACAGCATGGCCACCACGGTCGCAGCAAAGGTACTTTTGCGTTGAGCGCGCCGTGCGGACTTGGTCGGGTCGAGTCATGCCGACTCCTTTGACTTCGAGCATTTTGGGATACGAGACAGACAGGCCCTTGCTCAGTCGGAGAACTCCGTGCGAAAGCGAGCTATGCATGCAATCGTCGTGATTCTGGAGAACCTCGTGTGGTTCTTGCTTTGAGGCAGACGCGCTCTTCTTATTTTTATGTAGGAAAAGTATGTGGTTAAGTTTCTTGCTTTGCAACTAAGATGCCATGTGATGTTTTCTGGAGCTGTCTTAATGACAAGTCGAGGGGTTGGTCGAGTTGACCTGTCATTGCCATGTGATTTGGAATCTATGCAGCTGCGTAACCAGGAACGGGGAAGACATCAATGGCGTTGATATGATGCGTCCAGATTCCACTGGGCTAATATACTTCAAACCAAATGATGCGGTTTCGATTCTAGATAGAGAAGATGTATAACACTACCTCAGTAGGCGAGTTTTGAGAAGCAGACTGAAAGATGTGGTGGAATAGAGAATGAAGGGGAGATGAGAACCTTGAAGGAAAGAGTAGGGAAAAAGAAAAGACGCTAAGATAAGGATAAGCCACGCACAGACCCAGTGGGAAAATCCCATCGCATTCAATTTCCATCTCCGACATCAACAACTTTTCCCCCTCAATCTAGCATCCAGAATTGTTACACTGACCGTCGGCGACTTTCTCCTTGGATATCATTTCGGGTTCTCGACTATATTCGACCGCAATCATGGCGGACTTCACTGCTCCTGCCACCACAACTCCCAAGCCCGTCCACACGATCGTGCTCGATGCCGGCCCAATCCTCAAGAATACCCCGCCGCTCTCAACCCTTCTCGCCCAAAGCGAAGAACTCCTCATCACCCCCTCCGTTGTGAGCGAAATCCGGGATCCTGCTGCTCGTCAGCGTGTTGAAACTCTCTATCTGCCTTTTCTCAAACAACGGACCCCGAGCCCTAAGAGTGTCGCTGTGATCAGCGAGTTCGCCCGCAAGACTGGTGACCGCGCCGTGCTTAGTCGAACCGATCTTGAGGTTATCGCTCTTGCCTACGAAATCGAGTGTGAGCGGAACGGTGGCGATTGGCGACTTCGCAGCGTACCGGGTCAGAAGCAGGTCAATGGCAAGCCGCCCGCTCCTGTTGTTGCGCAGGAGAACAAACCTGAGCAGGAAACCGACAAGCCTGCTGGAGAGAAGGTTGAGGAGGCCCCCGAGAACAAGGATACCGAGGTGAAAGCAGAGCGTACGGATGTTGACGCTGTCGCCGAGGAACTGAAGGACGCAAAGCTGGAGGACCAGCATGATGCCGAGAAGCAACCCGAACCAGAAGTTGTATTCTCAGAAAATGCCGAGCTCCCGGCAGAGGACGAGGAGGAAGGTTCCGATGAGAATGATGACGATGACGATGGCTGGATCACGCCCTCGAACTTGAAGAAGCGGCAGGCCCGCGACGAAGCCAGTTCTGTGTCGGCGGCGCCTGAGCCCAAGGTCATGCAAGTCGCTACGATGACCACTGATTTCGCCGTACGTGCCTCGCACAAAACAACAGATTCATATACTGATTATATATGCAGTGCCAAAACGTTCTTCTCCAGATGAACCTGAACCTCCTCTCGACCACCACCCTACAGCGTATTCGACACCTGAAATCCTTCGTCAAGCGCTGTCACGCATGCTTTTCCACCACCAAGGACATGAATAAGCAATTCTGCCCGCGCTGTGGCAAGGATACGCTCACTCGGGTATCTTGCACGACGAACTCAAATGGGCAGTTCACGATGCATCTCAAGAAGAACATGCAGTGGAACAACCGAGGAAACGTCTACAGCGTCCCCAAGCCCGTCCATGGCAGCTCGAATGGGAAGTGGAAGGGCGGCGGTGGAAAGGGTGGCTGGGGTACGGAGCTCATCTTCGCAGAGGATCAAAAGGAGTTCAGTCGCGCCACTGCGGAGCAGAACCGCAGAATGCGAAAAGAGCATGACCTCATGGACGAGGATTATCTCCCTAGCATTTTGAGTGGTGAGCGTAATAAACATGGTCGTGTGCGCGTCGGAGCTGGTAGGAACGTGAACTCAAGGAAGCGGTAATGGCCTGTTCGGGGTTTCGTTTATTTCTTTCTTCCTTCTTGCATCACTTGGGACTGGCGCCTAGCAAAAAGTTTGATGATCCTCTGGCTATTTTCAGGGGTCTGGATGGCTACGGGATTATGACGGTGATTGACTTTCAATGACTTGGATAGACATGCTACAATTAAGATGCACTACGCAATGGACATAGATGGAACAAGTGCCTTTCCGTTAGTAAATGGTAGATTAGGACCGAGCTAAATCACCAATAAATGGGTAGCAAAAATGATAGCACTTTTCCCACCAGTGAAAGAATCGGGCACCGCACAAACTGGAAAGAGAGAAAAAGGGTTTCATCATCCATTCAAAGACCATTGATAACACCATTCGCCAATAAATGATTCAAAAGCACTGTGTGTATATCAAGCGACTACTGCCTCATCGTCTCGCTTATTACAACTGAGCAGCCTCCTTCTCTGTAGGGTGGGGTTAGCTGGGCTCATGGCATGTGCGGTCTCGGGAGAGCTCATACCAGGCTGCTGGGTGAGAAGCAGACCGTATCTCTTCTTGAGAGTGACACGGTGTCTGTACGAGAGACGCGATGTCAGCACTTTTGCATGTGGTGAAGATGAACAATGATCTTGGGTTCTGTGGTCCGAACGCACCTGGAGTACTTGTCATCGGGAGAGAATCGGGCAGGGTGGGCCGACTTGGTGGTGCGACCATCGAGGACCTTCTTCAAGGTGTAGATGCGCTTGCCATCCTCGCCGAGAGTGTACTAATTCACCAGTCAATTTCCCTGCTGGACA